TCATACTAAATCCAAAAGACAGCACTATATCAGCTACTAGAAGGAAAATTAACGCTATCCTAGCCAAAACCAGGACACTGTGAATCTGAGAGTTTTCAAAGATAAAGTTTATAAAATCTGTTCTTTGGGTCTCTAAAGAAAACTTAAATTTATTACAAAGGAAAATCCCCTGTGATGATACCTGTTGCCAAAAGGATGGGATACTTTTCTTTGAAAGAAAAATGAACGGGCTAACATACGTTTTGGGGGAAAAAAAAACAACAATGGTTATGTGAATCTGTACTTCACTTGCAAGTAGTTCAAGTCATTGAAGGTATTGACCAAGTTTGTGAAAGGATATGTATTTCTGCAGGGGATAAGAATTAATTTTTTTTAGGCTGTAGTTGATTGCTTTTTAAAACTACTTCAGGAATAAAAGAAAGATGTTAAGAATACCTCTTTTATTTGTAGCTTGGACAAATTTCTCTATCTTTCACCTCAATTCTCTAGGGGCTTGTTCAGGGTTTTTTTGTTGTTGTTTTTTGGATTGGTTTTTTGTTTTGGGTTTTTTTTTTTTTAAAGACTCTTTATGTTGTTCAGATACATGGCTCTGGCCCCAGAGAAAAAAATCTTGTTTTGTTCCTGTTCTAGATTACATATCGACTACGGTATCTTCTCCGAGCAAGGTGTGATGCTTCACCAGTGACTAACAATACCATCCAGTTTCACTGTGATCCTAGCTTCTGGGCTCAAAATATTTTCAATCTAGGTATGATGAAGTTTTATTAGCCCTTGGGCATCTTGATCCTATTTTGAAAGCAGCTTTCTTTTTGTGAAGATAAATAGCCTCCGCACTATTAATTTCTTAGTTTACTTTGTAAGATTTATTTCCTTACCTGTAGAAGACATTTAAAGTGCATTGTATGAGGAAAAGTATTATTTATGAATACTTATGATAAAGTATTAACAAACTTACCTTACTTGAATGGTACATGTGATGGTGAAAATAGCAGCTTTCAGTTTCCTGGGCAATACAAATGCCTTCTGGCTTCTGAAACAAGGAACACAATCTATAACCGTACTTCACATCCTAAGAAAGGATTCCAGAAGTCAGTCTCATTCTGCATCTTCCAGCCCTTTCTTTTACTTCAATCCCATCTTCCCAAGCTGAAACCCATAGCAGCAGCGTAATATGTTCAAGAACCCCCATTTGCTCGCTTGTCATGCTGAACAATAAGCCTTGGAGAACTGAGATGAAGAGAAGGGGAGAATGCCAAAGAAAAACAGAAGAACAGGGAAGAGAACACTACTTTTTGTCAGTTGTCTGGCTTTAGATTATCTTTCCTGAAGTTGTGGGGTGGAATTCAGGAAAAAGCATGTTTTTAACAGAGTTGCAAATGTACTTCATCTTCATTATCCTAATAGATTTTGGCCTAGTCTCCAAACTAGTATTTACATTTTTTCTTACAGCTATAAGTTGCTAGGGTTTTATGGTACTGGTGAATTCCAGAACCTGGAAGCTTTGCAGGTAGCCTGCTTGTGTGATTGCCTGAAAGTCTGAGTTTAATGGAGATAAGCATCCTAGGAACTCATCAGCTTAGGAGCAGGAATTAAAGCTTAGCGGTCTTTTTAGGATTTTGACTGCTGTCGTGCTTCCTTTCTCCATTGTTAGCTTGATGGCCATTTTTTGTTTTTCTGTCACGTGCAGAATGTTTTGTGAGATACCTGTGGGACCTTTTCTGCCTTTCATCAGAAAGTGCAGTCAGCTCTGCAAATGTACAGAGAAGTGCAAATGTATGTTTCTCTGCAAAGGCAGAGAAAGAAAGTATTATGGCAGTGCTTTAAGGTGAACAAGCTCCTTTCCCCACACACCAGGACATTGGATGGTAGCAGGGAAATTCTCCAAGTTCCTTCTTTGTAAATAATTTTTTTTTGGAAAGGAGTCGAAAGTGAATCTCTTGTTTCCAGAAACGAACTGTCAAGCTGTGTGGTGATAACTGTGAACTGCTGCTAAACTGAGATGATGCTTGTTAAGATGGGGGGTTTTCTTATGTTTGATTTTGGGGCTCTTTTTTGTAATTCGTTATATTCAGCCATTGAACTCCTTAAGTATGTTCCCTTAAAGTATTAAAAGTGCTACAATAGAAATGGCATCTGAACAGATCAGCACATGAGTTCTTGTAACTGTTTATCTATTTCAGTGATAGATAAAACCAGATCGCATTTATCTATCTCTTTTCAGAAATTACAGCCTTTAGGCTGTTACATTTATGATCAGACATGTTCAATTTCTGTAGATAAACCAGATTTAAGAACCACTGAAGGAAAAATAAAATAAAGTTTAAGTAAAGAATCAAGTTACTCTGGGAATGGCTTGAATTCTAGTCAGACTGTGTGTTACTGACACTGTGATAGCATCTGTACACTAATAGGATAGCTCTCTTACGGATTTCAGAATGTATTTAAGAAAATAAAATACAATATTTAAAGTGTTTTAATTCCACAAATTGTATTATAACCCATGGTTTTCTAGAATAACGGAAGGGAATCATTCTCTGTAGTACCTTTGGGTAAGTAGCTTTATACCACAGATGTTAAGTTTGGAAAGACTTTTGAAGATGTAATTAGACTTGGAGAGAACAGAACAAAAATGCGGTGTGGGTTTGACAGTTGATTGTAGTACAGTCAATACCATTCTTTGTCAAGGTAATTCCTTTTCTAGAGAAAGAAAATAAATCTATTTTGACTGTAGTGAAATATTTCATACCGCTGCATATGGGAAACAGTATTATTCATCTGCATTTTTCTCTGCTCACTTTATGGGAAACATTGACTAGACCTGTTACAGGCTTAAAGGGTATTAGGCAATAGATTGGTAGGGTTTTCCATTTTGTTTAGCATATTTAATATTTTTGTAATGACTGATGTGGTAGAATCATAATTAAAATGTATGCAACACCAAAATTACCAAGCATCAATACAAAAATAGTATTGTTGATGTTAGCTTTCTGCCCTGGTCTGCACTACAGTATGTTGGCTGGCCTAGACTCCCTCTGTGTCTGTGTCTAGATAGGGAGCTAGAATGATGCTACTTGCATAGCTTCTCAGCTCTTGGGATGAAAAAGAGGAATACCAAATGCAAGAAGTTTCCTCCTCCTTCAGATAATTTACCCCCAAATGAGCCAAGCTAGACTGCACAGGATCCACAGAGAGTGATGGATATGAGGAGAGAAGTGGCAGAGGATGATTTCAAGTTCTGCTGTAACAAGGATTGTCAAACTGTCATGTGGTGTACCCACCTCATTGAGGGATGCAGCCCTAAATCTCTGGGAGAGAAGGGAGTATGAGGTGTCTATCCCCCACTTGTATTGAAAAGCTGTTGTGCAACCTTCCACAGATCATTGGAATTTTTTAAGTCTCCGTTTTGGACCATAACTTTGTTTTAAACAAAGAAAGTGTCTTTGTCTTTTCCTGTACATACAGTGTGCTAGTCCCTTGAATCAAATCAAACTCTGTTCTAGTTGGAATTCATCTTTCTTGGATGAGGTAGCCAGAATTTTACATGAGAGTTTCATGTAATCACACTATATATCTCTTCAGATATATAGTGCCTTTTAGTGTCTAAAAGTTACCTGTCTAGTCAAATTTCCTTTTAAGTCAGTGGAGAGAGATAAAACATCTCCTGGAGGTGCCCATCACATCCTAGAATTGGTGGTGTGTAGCAGCTGAGAGTATCATTTGAGTATTCCATGATGTTGACTCCGAGGCCGGAAAGGATCACAATGCCTTTAAGTATTATGATACAGTTAAATCTTTTTATCAGACGATTGGATCAGGATGCTCTTTTCTGTTGAAACTTTGCTCCCTTGCTCTTCTGGGGAGGCCAGGACACCCTCCTAGGAGAATCCACCGTATAGAGGAGGCTGCAGCACAAGACAGTTTGCTAGTTTTATCTTTTCTGCATTATAAAATGCGAACATTTTATTGCATAGAAACAAACAAAATAAATGGAGTCCTCTATCTGATGTTTATCCATTCTTCACATGTTTATCCATTCTTTACATTACAATAATGAACGATGACCTCATGGTATAAAAGGAACTAATTGTGAAAAATAGCATTTCTGCTAGCTGCCATATTTTGGTATTAATTTTATTTCTTTTGTTTAAACCAGGTTCTTTGGTAATTGAAGATAAAGAAACCCCACCACATATCCCCAAGAGCCCCGTCATGGAAACAAACTTACAGCCACCAGGCAGCTTACCCTCAAACCAGCTGTCTAAGTTCCCAACGCAGATAAGTTTAGCTCAGCTCCGACTCCAGCACATGCAGCAACAGGTCATGGCTCAGAGACAGCAAGCTCAACGCAGAGCAGGTCCAGGAGGTTTACCAAATCCAAGAATGCCAGGAGCCATGCAGCAGCCTCCAGCTTCTCATCAAGTAAGTTATGACTGTTTCCAGAGAAGACTCTTTTTTTTCCATGGCACTGAAGAAGAAAGTAAAGAAAGATAAGAAAAAAGAAAGAAACTACATCTAGATATATAACTTCAGATAGCTTCATCTTTAGCACGTGGCTGTGTTAAGTGGGTTAGGGAACATTTTCTTTACTGAGAATTGAATGGGCATTTTAAACACGTCTGGCAGAATGCATGGTAGCACTCAGCCTATTTTTATTCAGAAAAAAAAAATCATATGGTATCCAATCGTATATAGTGCTGAGCTACATATTTTGTATTTTTGTCAAATGATTAAAAAGTGAATCTGTCATTGACTTTTTTCCAAGGCTTTTTTGCATAGACTGTGATTCTCCCATGTAACTTTCTAAGTTGGAAATACTCTCACTGGTTCTTGTAATGTATCTGCATTTATTGTATCAGAATAATTGAAATCCATCTACTAGGTTTTGTTTTTAACATTGAAAATTAATGTGTTGTGTGATCATTCAGATAAATGGTGTGGTACTATTTGTTTGCATCTAATTTATTAAGAGTTTCAGAAGTTTAAAAGGGCCACTTGATAAAAATTGCTGGAACATTGGATAGATATCAGCTAACTTGAAAAATTGTTTGTTTGTTTGTTTTCATGCAGGCACCTCCACGCTTGATTCATTTTCAGAATCATAGCCCCAAGTCCAACGGTTCAGCTCTTCCTGCACAACAGATGAGATTTCCCCAAAATCAGAACCTGCCAAGGCAAGCCATAAAGCCCAATCCGCTGCAAATGGCATTCTTGGCACAGCAAGCTATAAAACAGGTAGAGTTTCTTTCCTTTTCAAATAAAATATCAGATGTGCTTTATGTCATTGTCATGGTTTAACCCCAGCCAGCAACTAAGTACCACACAGCTGTTCGCTCACTCCCCACCCCCAGTGGGATGGGGGAGAGAATCAGAAGAGTAAAAATAAGGGTTGAGATAAGAACAGTTTAATAATTGAAATATAGTAATAATAACAACAACAACAACAACAACAACAACAACAACATGTAATGAAAAGGAAGATAACAAAAAGAGGGAGAAATAAAATCGAAGAAGAAGAAGTGATGCAAATGAAAAACAATTGCTCACCACCAACCAAAAAATGCGCAGCCAGTCCCCAAGCAGCAGCCTCCCGGCCAGCTTTCCCCTAGTTTATATACTGAGCATGACATCATATGGTATTAAATATCCCGTTGGCCAGTTTGGATCAGCTGTCCTGGCTGTGCCCCCTCCCAGCTTCTTGTGTGTCTGCAGCCTTCTCAGTTGGTAGAGCATGAGAAGATGAAAAGCCTTGACTCTGTGTAAGCCCTACTCAGCAATAATGAAAACATCTCTATATTATCAACACTGTTTTCAGCACAAATCCAAAACATAGCCTCATACTAGCTACTACGAACAAAATTAACTCTATCCCAGCTAAAACCAGCACAATCATCTTACTTTTATATTATTTTTTCAATTAGAACAGAGACTGCATTTTTCTCTATAACAAGATACCCACAGTTTTCTTAATAACTGTCAAGTTTCTTTCGTTTTGACAGTTCTAAGCAGCTGAAAGTTATGGAAGTGAGCCACTGTGTGTGCTGTGTAGGTGTTTCATTCTCTTGTTTGCTATTACTGTGATTTCTGGCACTTATGCAAAACTTAACATGGCCATGGTCTGCACACTACAGTCAGTGAATAGACAAAATAGAAAATCCTACTATTTAGCTTGATGTTAGTGACTTCACTAGGAACCAGGTAAAAGCTTGACTAAAAAGCTATAGCTGCCACCGTTCTCCAGAGTATGCCAAATCTGAACTTCTACAGATGAGGAGAGAAAAGAAAGTCCACAATTGTGGGACCTCTGCTGAGTAAGACTGATCAATACCCAGCTAATCAGCAGTTGAACTGGGGCAGAAGCAAACACTTAAGATGTTTTCTGGATGTTCAGGAAGGCAAATCTTTATTAAAAAGCATACTAGCACATGGGTTGTTGGGTATGTGGAAGGAAAGAGATAATCATGTCATTAGAGGTAAGCAGGTAAGAATCAAATGAATCGGACCTGTGACCTGCGAAGTGGAGTAATATCATTCATGTTTGCAATACTTATGATGTCAGAGAACTAATTCCAACTAAATTGAAAAGAGCTGTACAATATCTAAGAGCACCTGTAGTAACAAAAACTGTCACCTCTATTCTGTGCCTCTGAAAAGAAGATTGGCCTGTCTGCAAGCCTTTCTTTCAAGTATATTCATTATCTAGTAATGTCTTTCTGAAACTAGAAATTAGTAAATAAAATGACTGACTAAAAAGGAATTGAGCAGAGTCAAATTTTGCCTACGGTTGCCGTGAAATTCCATTAAAGTCATTGAAAACTGCATATGTCTAAATGAGAAAGAAATTTAGTCTGACTTGACTGTGCACTTCCTGTCATGGTGTTAAACATATATGTGGGTGGAGATCCAGTCAGCATTTCAAATTCTTAATCACTTTAACTTGTTAAGGGAAGCACAACATCAAATACTTGATGGCGTTCAAGTGATGCTACAGCTATTTACTTAATAAAGCACTGGAGCAGTTGTGCATTCAGCCTATTATCTGTAATGCTTTTATTTCACTAAAACTGTTACATTCCTCCCACAACATTGTCAATGCAGCATGAAATATTAATAGATACTTAATATCTAGATACAGCTTTGAATTTAAGAATTCACATTCATTTCTTCTGTTCATAGTTTTCAACTACTTGTCATCTTCCCTTGTCTTGTAAGATTGGTTCTTGAAATTGGATAACTTCAGAGTAAATCAGGATTTTATGTTTGAATTCAGCTTACTTGTTTAACTGATGAGTTAGAACCAGTATATGCAGAAGATGTCATCCGTTGGAAAAAATGATGCTGAATTGTGGATTATTGTCTTTTCTTTTTAGTGGCAGATCAGTAGTGGGCAAACTTCAACTGCCCTTTCAACTGCAAGCAGCACAACATCTACTCCATCCAGCCCCACAGTCACTAGTGCTGTAGGATGTGATGGGAAGACTTATGGTCCTCCTGTGATAGATTTGAGTTCTCCAGTGGGTAGCTCCTACAATCTACCATCTCTTCCTGATGTAAGTGTAACATAAGAGCAATGTTTTATGGATTCTATTCTGCAGTAAGTCTTAATGTTTGTGAAAAATAGAAACCTTTTAGACTGAAATTCTTCCTCTGTTTGTCAAAATGAGACAGTTCCAGAAAACAACAGTGCAGGATTGCCTACATGTTGCTGGCAATATTCAAAACTGTTCTGGGAGACAGCTGTTAGGACAACTAAGAAAAATAACATTGCAGGTTGTAGTTGTAATTGGACTTGTTTATTTGGATGCTGCATATTTTTCCCGTACCCCCCATAACGATACTAACAAAAATGAGTTAGCTTAGCTGTCGTTTACCAGTGTCCATAGATAGCACTGGGTTGCTGATGGTATTTCTGGTAAATTTTTAACATTTTTTTAATACATGTTGAACTCATTGAAAGGGCTATCTTAGGTAGCTATTAATTGTTGATATACTGGATATATTCCTTATATCTTTTCCTTTTGGTACTTCTTTTCTTCATATATCCTCTAACATGCCTGTGAGCAGGTGATAGAAGGAGCATCATAAGATCATCTTCTCTTAAGCTTCTAAACTTCTCTTTCATAGTTCCTTCTGATTGGTACGTGTTTGTCAGAGGTCCACGTTAGAGCTGTTGAGTTTTAGTCAGTTGTCTTTATTCTTTCGGATAACTGCTGGGCCTATTTTTGTGGTCTAAGGCTTGTAGATATCTGAAATGTCATGGTCTTCTAGTCATAACTTGCTGTTAGTCCCTGTTTCTCCCACCTGTCTTTTGTTCTCACCAACAAACTCTCAGATAAAGGTGTTCTATTTTTCAAATAGAGTACATAGAGTACAGAATCACAGTATCTGTCAGGCTTAAAAGGTGAACTACAGAACACGATCATAAAACTACTGAGTCTGTGAGACATTTTAGCATACTGATTTTTGTGCACAGTATTATTATGAACTCTTTTACTTGTATATGGTTAAGTTTATGCTATTAAGATACATGGCCTAAATCACTGTAAATATGCTGACCTAGCAGAGGCTTCTGCATCCACTTCAGATAAGTCTAGCTTATAAATAGAAATTTCAGTCGTCAATGTAGTTGATACCAGTGGATTTGTGAGGTGTCTGGATGATTGAGAAAACTGATACCAAGGTGACCTATTTTCTTATCAAACATGATCTTCTGTGTTGCAAAAAACCTAACATTTGAAAAGGTCATTTCTCTTTATCAAACCAGAATGTGTAATTTTTACAGAAAGTTAGAATCGTAAATTGGGAGCCCCTAAAACAGAGTTCAGTTGTCTGGCCTGGGCTATGGGTGGAAAGAACAAGTGTTGGTTTGCTGTTTGCGTTTTGAGTCAATATGCATGGCCCCTGCCCAGAAGGTTTGTGGGAGAGATGGAATTGAGTGTCCTTTGAGGTTCTTCCAGTCCTGTTAAACACTAGTGGATTCAAGGGTAGTTTGTGTGTTGCTTATTATCTTTTTTAGAGTATATAACGTGAGCATGTCGAAAGAAAGTGTAGAGATAAAAATTCATCTCTTTCTTCAATGTGTGAAAGCTACCTGTCTGATGTAAGCCTTCTCTGTGGCTGATGGAGAAAAATTGGCACTTACAGAATCATCTGATCTTAAAATTGAAGCACTGTCTGGATTTGGCCATTTCTTTTCTTTTTAGAGAAAGCAAGATGACCTGTTTTAAAGTAACCACCTCACTTTTTGGATGGCTAAAGTTAGGTGAAATGCATTTTGGTCTTCACCTTCAAAATAACAGTATGGCAGAGGCATGGGGTGGTTTTTTGTTGTTGTTTTTGGGGGAGTTTTGTTGTGGGTTTTTTTTCCCCTCCCAACACTAACTGCTTCCCCTCTCTTCCCCACCTTTTAGATTGATTGTTCAGGAAACATCACACTGGATAATGTTGTAAGGAAGGATGGCACTGCAGAGCAGAATCAGCCAAAACCCCCTTCGAACAGAACTGTGCAGTCACCAAATTCATCGGTACCATCACCAGGCCTCTCAGGTAATTGGAATGTGGTGCAATTTTCTGTTAAAGTGGTGTAATGGAAAAATCTACTGTGACACTGTTAACACTGTTACTTCTATTTTATATCAAAGATGAGAAATATGAAAATGAAGGCAAAGTTGTAGAAACTCTAGTAGGAGGTAAAGTTGAGATAATATTTTAGCATTGTCAACAAAGGTAGGTGGCCAGATCTTAAAAGCATGGAGGGAAAAACATAATAGATTTTAGCAAATTGCATAGAAATACATAGAAAAATGTCATTCTTGGGGTACACCAAATTAAAACCTAGAAGCTGTGGTAGGAGACAATATTTGAAAAAGCAGGACAGATGTAACAGAAGACAGTGGCTACAAATGTGCTGACTTAGGAAGTTCAATTTGGTTATTAGAAAATCTTTTTCACTAGAAGGGTAGTGCAGCATTGACACAGGTTGATCAGAGAGGTTATTGTTACGGGTAGCTAATGTGGTAGACTTGAAGGACTTGAAGGGGATTCCTGTCACCATGCATGGTGGCCATCAGCAGCTGCTCCATACTCCCATTTCCCAGTCTGGCCTGTAGTGAGGCTATGTGAGCATGAATTGCCAATAAGCACTTGTGCAACGTTCGTGCACTCCCAAGGTGTTTATGCCATTGGGCAGATTAGCTGAAGCAGGTGGATAATGCATTTGCAGACAGCACAGACCGGTTTCTCAGAATCAATGCTCAGGAAAAATGTCCTTCACAAGTCTTTTGGCTATCTGGTCCCCAGACCGTTGGTCTCTCTCATATCTGGCCCCCAGACATCTTCCTACTCGCCAGCTCATCTGGCTTAAAGTTTCCTAGCAGATCTCCTGAGACATCTGCTAGAATTTAATAAGGTAAGACAAAACAAACTGCAGTGATCAAGTGGAGGGGTCAGCCAGGCAAAGGTACTGACCCATCAGCCTGCTTACATGCAATGGGCCCATTTTTAGTCCTCTCCTTCCCTTTGTTATCTCATGCTTCTCATCCTTTCATGAATTTGTATTAAATGAGATATAGGTTAAATAAATGACACTGCAGGAGAAATTTTCCCCCAAACCTGTGTACTTCTCTGAGTCACATCTCAGACTCAGCACAGACCTGTGTTTTGTTCTAATCTGATTCTTCTATCCTAGGAGGAGTCAGTGTGACAAATATACACCCTCCAATTCGTTCACCCAGTGCCTCCAGTGTTGGGAGCAGAGAGAGGTAAGGAAAGAGTAGGAGAGAAGAAAATTGTAACTCCATCTCCATAGAACATGCCTCAGTCTCTTCCCTTATTAATGCATATAGAAGTCAATTTGCCTCATCTTCTCTGTTAACAGGCCAGACCTGATGGTTATTACAGCACTCTTTGCATTCTAAAATTAGTAATTTCATTTGTAGTGTATTAATAGCACATCTAAAAACGTATTAACTCTGTAAATGATGGCTAGGTTGGCATTATTAAAAGAATGCCAACTCTAAAATAGGTTTTAAATTCAGAAAAATCAGCTGAAGAAAAAGGTTGCATATTGAAAGTCCTCGTGAAACTATAAATGACTTCAGATTTAAGGAACTGATGTTACAAAGAGGGTTATTAAGAATTTTCCCCCATAATGCAGTTAGTTAAGTGATATCTACTGAGAGTCTACACAAATGTTTTTATCCCTTAGTGATGGAATATTAATGAACAAATAGATTTACACAATGTTGTTTGAAGAGTGCAGATTATTCATTAATGTGTTCCAATAAATTAGAGCGTACATCTGACATGAGATTAATTTTTCATGCAGAGAAAAATCAGATGACATTCATCCTACTTGAATTGGAAACGCAGATGCTTTTTAATATAGAATACCTTTTACTCTATTCCATTTACGTAGTAAATTCTGTGAAGGACTTTTATGAACTGTTTAAATGTTTGTCTGAAGAGTCTTTTACTTGCATGTGAAAAAATGTGATTCTATCTGCTGCTGCTTGAATTCATTTTGTTACATTTAAAATTCTTCATTATTATTAAAAAAAAAATCAACACCCTCGTATTTTTGAGTTTGGTTATCCGCTCTCATCCTATTATGACTAAACACGTGAAAAAAGACAGAACTAGTTCTAAAAATATGGACCCAGTTTTGGTAGAGCTGCAAGTCTGTAAGAAACTCTTCCAAGTTAATGTAAATACGTGTTTTATCTGGCTTATTTGCTTGTGTGGTTTACAATGATCAGTTCAGCTCTGGAGAAACACTGGCCTTCCCCAAAATACAGCTGCATCTCCTTCAAAGTGAGATAATGTTCAGTGGAAGTGCTTTTTTGTGTATGACCTGAAAGAAATGGAGATTATTTGCAAATCTTGCACTAATGGGAAGTCAAACCGTGAGTAATTCTCTGGTTCTGGAACTGCGCCATTAAAATTTTCCCTTTCTGTAATGCCTTTTCAATATACATCAAAGGAAATAAACTTGGATGTTGTATTCTATAAAAGTAATACTGTAGTGCTCAAGATTCAAAGAAGCAAAATGGATTAGCATCCTGAGGTCTCGGAAAGCATCAGTGTACAAAAGGCATCCAGTTCTGACTCTTAATTTTCTTTTTTTCCTGCCTCTTTCTGTCATTTACAGTTCTGGCTCCTCCAGCAGGCCACCAGGAGCTGATTCTACACACAAAGTCCCGGTTGTTATGTTGGAGCCGATCAGAATTAAACAGGAATCAAGTGCACCAAATGAGAACTTCGATTTCCCAATTGTTATAGTGAAGCAAGAAACGGATGAGGAATCCCGGCCTCGGAATGTAATATTAAGTTATAAAGATCTCCTTTCTCTTTGGTGGAGGGTATTTTGCATTTATGGGGAATAAAATAATTTACTAATATTCTGTTGAGGACTTTTTCAGGGGAAAACTAAAAAGCTAAATAAAAGGAAGAGGTGAAATTCAAAATCAAACTAGCTCTGCTGCCAATTCAATTCATTAACTGGCGCGATCAGACTGCTTTTATCCATTGAAAACCTGGGAAGGCAGGAAATAGCTTACAAACATCAAATTTCCATGTGGTTGCTAGATTTTTGGGGCATCAAAGATTAGTTTTATTTTTATTAGTGGAGCAGTGAGCAGTAAATAGCTTTTCATAGCTGTCTTGTGTTTAGTTGCCTGGTGCTATAGTATGATAGTAATTATTACGTGCATTTTGCATGCGTGTATGGCTGCCTGCATATAAATTCGTTATTCAGGTCAGTTTACTTGTTGTTAGGGTCATGTAAATTCACATCAATATTATAATTTGGCTTCCTTTGTTTCTTCTTACAGGCCACCTTTTCAAGAAGCATACTTACTTCATTGCTGTTAGATAGCAATCATAATTCCACTTCTGATGAAGCTGTCTTAAGAACAGATGCACCGGACAGCACAGATGATCAACCAGGGATACTGAAGGAGAACACATCCAGTGGGAAGACAGGATGGATAGGCCCCCCCCACATTGGGGAGGGCAGGAAAGAGGATGATCCCAATGAAGATTGGTGTGCAGTATGTCAAAATGGAGGGGAGCTCCTTTGCTGTGAAAAGTGTCCCAAAGTATTCCATCTTTCTTGTCATGTCCCTACACTGATGAGCTTTCCAAGGTAATTATGACCCCTTCAATTCCATCTAAACTTGCATTAAAAGAGGTAAGTTTTGTATTGTGAAACCCAGTACAAGAAGTTTCAGCCTCGAAGGAAGCAGTGTCTTCTCTGAAGTCTTGCATCCAGAAGTTTTATTAATTGGTGAAAATTGGAATTTGCATTGAAACTCCAGTATAACTTTGCAGATTTGCAGCCACAGTAATAAGACTCTTCACTTATTTGGCAATTAAGCAAGATCATTTACATCTAGGGCATCTATTATTAAACTTGGGCCACAGAATTACCAATCTGTCATAAAATGTTTTAAGGATGACATAAAAGATTTAAATTTCTTTAATAATAATAATAAAAAAAAGAAAAATCTAAGCTAATATAGTATTAAATACATTATTTACTATAGTGCTAAACATGGCTACACTCCAATCATGGGATGCAGCGACTGACATCTTCTAGTAACATCTCGTTCAAGGTTGAAACAAGCAGTAAACTTTCTTGATTGGCCGTTACAAAACAACTACTCAGTTTCTTGAGTTTCAAAATACAGTCTTAAATAGGTGGTTGTTATAAGCATTACCGGCGTTTGCTTCTGGAATTAGTGTCTTTGATTAAAATAAATGGCATCTTGCAATGTTCCAACCTAGAAATGCCATGCAATAAGCTTATTAGTATTAAAGGATAAAAACATCTGTGATAACATGTTCATTGTTTAATGCTTTTATAAATACTAGGTTTTCTTATTAAATATCAGCATAGCTTGCTGGTGTAAAACATTTGGATAGCAACTTAGTTTAGTACAATGATCATCTCTGTGCTACTCTGAACAAACATACTTCTACAAGCGTATCTACTCTTTCAAATGTTGCTAGAAATGGCACATAAAAATATTTCTTTTACCTTTTGAAACTTCAAATTACAGTTTGTTTTTTTTTAAATAAAATGATGCTATGTTACAGCTTTGTGCCATAAGCAAAACCCAGTAAAGTTACAGTAAACACTTAAACTAATAAACATTTGTGCCCTTCTGACAAGAAAAGAATAATCTTTAAGCAGGCAGATAAGTATGTATTTACAAGGCTTTGTTTCTATTAAAATTAAAGCTTCAAGAATGAGTCTTTTAAATTTCTATTTTTTACTGGATGATTCTGTGGAAATTGAGATGATGATGTCCACGTGCAAAGGAGCCAAAAACAACTTTTCTGACAGATCTGTAAAGGTGCATATTAATGTGTTCCTGGACTTCAGAACTATGGTTAGCTTAATTTTCTTTCTGGCTTCAGATGTATCAGGTTTTTGCTCTCATCTTTCTGGTGTTTTGGGGGTTTTTTTGCAGCTGTAACAGTTTGCTTAATAAACTTCGGTCTCTTAGCATTAGTTCCTTCAAACACACAAAATAATTCCTTTATTGTTATGTCAGCAATGTCGGTCTACTTCTTTCATGATTGCTTTTTGTTCTTGCTTCAGGTGGATAGAACAATTTCCGCTATAGATTCACAAGGTCACTGCATCTTTTTTCCTTCACTCCAACACACCACACTCTTCCTGATTCTTGGATATTTAAATGCATCATTCCTCGATCTTTCATGTGTTTCCTGTTTTCTTGTATCATAAGATCTTTAGATCATGGCCTGTATCTATTTTTGTGTATCTGTCACATCATTTCTCTGATGCTAGTCCAGGCACAGAGGTGACGCTGTCATATAAATAACTCCATCAAGTTAAGACACTAGAAGGTAAAAGTCTCTTTGAAGGAAGATGCCCATTATTCACTATTGTATGCTACAACTAGCAGGTGGTGGAAATCTTTGGATTACTCTGAATAAAAACCGGTATTTTTTTTTTTTTTTTAACTTGGAAAGTCTTCTGCCTTACTATCGAAATGAATTAAAAGGTGCTGCAGAAACTATTTCCCATTTACAAAGATCTTATTATTATAACATACCTCTGAGTAAATGTATGCAGTTAGATCTCATAATTGGTTATTGCCGAATTCTGTCTGCTATATAAGAAGAACAATTCAGCCCTCTTGTGGTTATCTGCAAGCATGCAAGTTTCTTCATTTGTGGAGAACTATATTAAAAACATAGATTCTTCATAGGTTTTTCAAAACTTTGAGGTTCACAAATTGTATTAGAGAATCAGTGAACATAGCTTGCAGAACTAATTTTGTCGTAATCTTGTGCTGTCATTTAAATCTATAGGGTTCTCCTAGACTAACTGATCAAATCGGGAACATCTGAAAGTTTTAGGGAGTGAAGAGTTTCCAGTTTTCCAAAAAATCTTGTCTAGGGTAATCTATGTAGAGAAGTAGTATGTTGTAGATCAGACTTGTAGAGAGAATATGTAGTTCTCAACGTATAACACTAACACTTTTCCTTCTGTTTGGCCTATACTAATCTTCCAGTCTCTCTGTAGTTAGGAAACAGAACTCTTAATAGTGCTTTGCTTGAATCCTATGAGCTCAAGTGAAAAATTTCAGTACTAACAAAGGTAGAAACCATTTTTCTGTTATGACACCATTAATGACACCAGTGCCATTAAAAAGGAAACAAAGTCTAATAAAGCACTTTTACCAGCAGTCTCTGCCTTTTGTAGTGTTTAAAAAACCACCACCAACAAAACAACACACGATGCAGAAAGAAACACCCCACAAATGAGGAACTTACCCAGAAATATGTGGAAAGCCTTTTGTCAAGAGTGTGATACATCACTGATGTCAATGTGTCCGTTTGTCTTCTTTAGTGGAGAGTGGATTTGTACATTCTGTCGGGATTTGTCCAAGCCAGAAGTTGAATATGACTGTGATAAACCCGCTCACAGCTCTGAAAAAAGAAAACTGGAAGACACTGTGGGTTTGGCGCCAATAGACCGTAGGGTAAGGATAAAATGAGTGCTGTCTTGCTGCTTCTTGTATTCTGAAATGTATGCATCTTTTAAAAACTGATGGTAAAAAAGGAGAATTAACTTTTTAAATAAGCTCTGAGATCATAGCAGCCTTCATGTAAACATGCTGAACAACACATTCTGAATGTCTGAGAAGTGGTTGTGATCTGGTGCTCTGAACTGGGACTGTGTTCTAGGAATTACCACGTGCTGTTTCTAACAGAGCTCTCATACACAGTGACCTTGCATTGAGAATTTTTTTCTTTGTTTGTGCTTTCCAAATTTGTCATAGGTTGACATTATCAACTAATGGTTTTAGTCTTTAAAGCACTTTGTCAACATCCTTTTAAAAAATTAAGGTGGTTCTTTCACAATGAAGATACACAGAGATGCGATACTGATCCTGCAGAGATTAACACAAGTCTCTGGGAATAATTGCTATCCTTTTGCAGGTTTGAATGTTCTGGTGGAAAAGCTATAAAGCAAGCAGTGGGTTTCCGACTTTTGGTTTTCCCTTAAACCTCAGAGTTAAAAGAAAAAAATTGTGCCTTTGAGCAGACAGTTGAACTGTTTGACAGAATCTTTTGGATTCTTGGGAGTTTGGGGGGTTGTTTTGCCTTTCTTTATTTTTTCTTATTCCTTTGTAGTTGTTTTATTATTATTTAAAACTTCTGTTACACAATTTTGAGCTCTGTTGGAAACTTTCAGCAGTGTTTTACTTGATTTCATTTGGCAGCTTGTGTAAATACACTGAAATTAGTATTTTATTTGGGGTCTTAGTCTACCTGTAGAACCATTGTTTGCATGTGCTGCTAACTGAAAGGAAAAAAAAGCTAGCTCTGTTTGTATTTTGCTTTAAATATACGGTATAAAAATGTAAGTCCTGTAAATAAAGGATCAGCAAGCATAAAATCACAGAAAACTATTTTTAGAATCTCTTTCAAGGCTCAAGATACAGTTTAATATATTTGGATACACAAAGAAAAGATACTCCTTACCACTGCTAACAAAAAGCACTGTAGGCTTTGCAGTTACAGAGCAGTTATACCCAGATCAGGAACAATATTACTGATATCTCTGAATATTTGTAAAGCACTAAGAGCCACGCATGCTTTTTTATTCCCTGAAATGTCTGCTGGGCTCAGCAAATGATGAATAACACTGTTAGTAACTGCATGAGGTTTCATACCATGCATTTGAGAGTTGATAATGATATATCTATTGCAGAGAAGGAATACTGTAGGCCATTGGTTACGACAGTTAAGCTTGCTTCCAAATACAGTTTGTGTGCTCACTTTTCTGCATAGGGGCTGGGGGAGTACTGAGCATCTGTTTGGTATTTTCTGTAGTTTGTCATTTTAGAACAAATTATGTAGGTTTCTCTAATTACTTGGGTATCTATTTTTCTTGACACAGAAGTGTGAAAGACTGCTGCTATACCTCTACTGTCACGAAATGAGTCTTGCTTTTCAAGATCCAGTTCCTCCCACAGTATGTACTTCACTTCTTTCCATTTTATGCTAGTAGCATAACTGGTATGTTTCTAAAGGCATTTTTATGTCCCATCATGGTCCATTATCAGAAGTCAAGTTTCCCAGACATTGAGTGTATTAAACGTGTTTAATTTTATTAAAACTCTCTGAAGGGGAGTTAAAAGTTGAAGCATTGGGTTGGAAGGGGATTTGCTAGTAAAATTCCCCAAGAACTGATTTTACTTAATCAGTTACTAATTTTACTTAAAAATAGACACAAAAAGTAAGTTCTAACACTGTCTGCTGATTTCACAATGCTGAGTGGTATCACTAAAAAGGTGAATTGGGATATGTTTGGGTTTTTTAAAATTACTGATTTTGAGAATTAAAGTACTCCATAGTACTAATATGAAATTGAATTTCTTATTATTAGCTTGAAATTTATTAGTTTAAAATGGTAAACAATACCTGGGTGCTTTAGAAGTCCAAGGATACACAGAAGAGTTACCAGCGTGATCAGATGAAAAGTACCCCTTTTACGTTCTTCAAGACAAGTCAATGGGAAAAGAATTCATCAATAAGTAATATGCTCCTATGCACCCTTTTTATCCATTTGAATAAGAATTCTTCTTTTGAAGAACATTCCACAGAGTTTAATAATAAGAAAGGGCACAAGAGATTAAATGATTAATCATATGATGGTCATGTATTACTAAATTCAGGTATTATAGCATTTCTCTTAAAATGTGAATCTAGTTAGGAAAAAAGTATAAAAATATTATCTTTGGATTTCATATCTTATTTTCTAATTTCTAATTCTTTCTAAAGAAAGAATAAATCTTAATCCTACAACCACAGTTTGAGAGGCCAAAATCTCTGAAATTTTCTACCATTTCCAAGGACATATTTCGTAACCAAAATTCATTTTAAGCAACCCGTGTACCATCTCTGTTTGAGTGTGTTGCCAAAATTATCATATGGTAGTCTTGAGAGTGAAACTTAATAGATGGCTCATTTGACTACATCCAAAAATAACGTCCAAATCGTTTGCTTTATCATATGTAGTCAATGTAGGTGGTTTTTTTTTTTCCTTTTATTTTAAAATAGGCATTGGGAGAAGTATATTTTAGCCAGCAAAACGAGCATATGTCACTGTTACTCCAGAAACTGTCTGTATATATGTTAAAAGTACAATTCTTATGTCTTAGAATTGTACTTTGAAGATGAGACTAAATCTTGCCCTCTCCCTCAGAGCTAAAGGTTTATAAAACAACAATTAATGAACATGACTGCATTTGATAAAAAATTTTATTCTCCATTTAGGTTCCTGATTACTACAAAATAATCAAAAAGCCTATGGACTTGTCAACCATTAAGAAAAGACTTGAAGTGACCAATTCATTCTACACAAAGCCGGAAGATTTTGTGGCTGATTTCAGACTGATTTTCCAAAACTGTGCTGAATTTAATGAGGTTAGTAGATACTTTATCTGGTTTTGTAGGCTTAGTTGCTTTCAGGAAAACTGTAGTGGGGGTAGAACTGACAACACAAGAATTTATTGTATTAAACTTATTTTGATGATGAGACTGCAGTGAAAAGATAGATCACATTTGAAACTACTGTGGTGTTAGATGACTACGCAGTGTAGATCCTTCCATAGAAGGAAAGAGGATTGTAACAAACATGCTAGCTGAATGACAGGACAGCAGGTAAAGAATATGACAATTGTTTATTGTAGAGGTTAATGGTGGGCATTTGATTTTAAAATTGGTTTAATCCTCCTTGCCTCAAATTTTAAATTCAATGGGATTTTCATTCTGGGAGGTCTGTACTCACCCTTATGATTTCTAGTTGCATGTTCAGTGATCGTTATTATCCCTCACTGCACATAAGGGAACACGTGGTGAAAAAGGGATGCAGTTACTGAGGGACCGCAAAATGAGAGAGGATTACACTGGGAATAAAGGCTCCTCTAAGTGGCCTCAATGGGGTTCTCATCCAGTCACCCCTGATAGCTGGGAATACTTCCTGCCGTGGTGACCTCCGCTTCAGGAAACTGATCAGCCGTGGTGGCTATGAATGACTTCAGGACTGCCTAGTCTTCCATGTTAAAATCATCATCATCATCTATCCTAGTAATATTTTCACGTAATTCAAAAAGGTCTGTAAGCGAGAGAAATTCTAGCATTTCAAGCAGTCGTTCCAAAACACTTTAACACCCTGAAGGCATACCTATATATTTCACAGCATAACCCAGCTTCTTTTTTTTTTTTTTTTTTTTTTTTTTCAGTCAGGATTTAAGAGTTTTTAGAATCTCTTTACATAGCTTTCAGAACCCAGGCAGTATGGCTTTTGCAATTGGCTTCTGTGATAATCCATCAGAGAAAAAAGTCATTGGGGGTGTTGGCCAAAAGATCTACCCTCACCCTCTGTTTTGCAGGCTTGTGCTCTTTGGGACCATGTGTTCTACAGGTGCCATTTTTTACTGCTGATTGATTTTTGTAGTTTGTAAGAGCACCTAAAAGACCTAATGTGATCTAAGTATAAAGCTATTTCGTGACGTATTGATGTTGTTAATTCCCCCAACAGCCTGATTCAGAAGTGGCTGATGCCGGCATGAAACTTGAAGCGTACTTTGAAGAACTTCTAAGGAACCTTTATCCTGAGAGGAAGTTCCCTGTACAACCCAACTGCCAGAGTGAAAAAGATAATCCAGAACTTAACGATGACTCGGATGATGACTTTGTTCAGCCCCGGAAAAAACGCCTCAAAGGAGAAGACCGTCAGTTGCTTAAATAAACTCCACGTGTTACTACGGAACGTTTTTTAAAAACTAAGAATATTTATCACTGCTAATTGTGAAAAGGGGAAAAATAATGACTGCTTTGACTTGTAGGTTTGTGGATATTCACTAGACTTTCTACCCCTTCTCTGAAACACAAATCTAATAGAGATCAAGGCATGTGGAGAACTTCTCTGAAGTTCCAAACTTTCACCGTACTTCTGGAGCAGCACAGAAACTGCCATTTGCGTGGGGTGACAGCTGTTTAACTTTACTTTGAGGAAGAAAAGAAGTTTGTATAGAATTGAACTTTAAAACATTACATGGGTTCGACATGTGGCTTTCTGAGTTTGAAGAAAATGTGATCTCACCAGAATTTAATTTTACCAAAGGCATGTGGCTGGCCATAATTTGATTTCTTTGTACTGTATTTAACACAAGCCATGAAAACAGATGGTGTAATATTATTGTCCTGCAATACTGACTGGTACAATGAAAGTGTAGTTGCCCCCAAAGAAGTTATTGGTAATTTTAAAATGTAAGGGAGAGTGTATTAAAAATAACTTTAAAAAAAAAAAAGGAACTTGTTTGAGAGTTTTTAATGGAGGAAGTAAAGGACAGAATACTTTGTTTTGCACCATTTTTCTCACCACCAGCAAGAACAATGGTATACCTGTACTATTTTGTTTAATAGGGTCTCAAGTTTGATGTACCTCTGTTTAATGGAGGGGAAAGTTTGCTTGCAACTATCAGTCAATCTTTGTGTGTGTTTGGAGAGGGGAAAAAAGCATCCTTTCTGTCCACATGCTCTTGTTTTTCCAAATTTCTAAATATGTTGTTGTGAGAATGCAACCAGCATCGTTATTCACTTGGAAGTACACAAGTTTCAAGAGGCGGAGAAAAAAGAAAGATATTGCTCTTCAACCCTTCATCTGTCCCTGTTAGAATCACCAGAAGGTGAGGACAAATCACCTTTTTTTGTTCTGTCTACTTTCCAGAAGCACTGGCAACAATATAGATGGTTGTTTCTGCCCTCAGAGATTCCTGAGTTAGAGAAGTGCTTGTCTATGGTTGCTCCAGCTATTGGTTCATACTCTTCATTTATGTCATCTTAAACGAAAACTGAGTTTTCGGGAGAGCAGGCAATCTTTTGGATTAATTGAGCTCTGATTGTGCCAGAATTTTGCAGATGGAATTGTGAAGAGTGGTGTACATCTGAGTGTACACAAGCCTGCTTTTCTCTTGCTGTGTAGCATTGACATGGTGCTGTGGATAGATCATTGAAAAGACTGGATAGAAGTGCTGCTTGTGCCTCCCTGGTGTGTACATATGCACCCAGAAAAAAGGCCCTTTTTTTGCCTCTCACCAGATGAGATACTAGCCACCTGCCTGTCATAGGGGGTGTCACTGCACACTTAAATGTAGTGGACACTTAAAAAGAACACTGAGTTGTGTTTGCAGCAGGCCTTTGACATAGCTTTTGAAATGCCGTGATCATGTGGTTGATTTTTAAGCTGCCTAGAGTAACCATTTAGTTTCCCTTTTTCCTTCTTTGTTTTGTTTTGTTTGTTTGTTTTTGTTAGGTTTGGTTTTGTTTTTTGTGGAAGGTTTTTATTACCTGAAGAGAGTTGCTTGTAGCAGGAGTTTTACCATCCCACAGTACCAGAAATAAAGGAAGAGAGGTGAAGGAGCAGAACAGGAGAGTGAAGGACACTATTCTAACAAAACAGGTGTGATCAGGGCGCACTACAGTAGCACAGACTTAAGAAATAAGAGGCACTGCTATTGCAACATTTGAAGTCTTAAAGATCTAGCAATGCCTAGAAGTCCTAGATACCCTCACCAAGTTTAACAGTGCTTCCAGAGGAAGGTGCTGTGTGGTTCTCTGGACCGTAAGTTGCAAGCACAGATGTATTAGGAGGCTTAGTGCGTTTAGAGGTGAAGTTAGACACCTATATAGCTTCACACTCAAGTTGTTCTCCCAGCGGAAAATACTGGGGAGAGGAGTGTAGGTGTACTCCTGCAGTCCAGTTACCTATCTGTCTGCTGTAAACTGTTTGAAAATGTCTCTGTTTAAATAATCCACTGGAAAAATCTGATTCAACTTTCATTTTGTGGTCTTGAATGTCACCCTAAGAATCTTCAGAAATTGTCACTGCAATGAGGTTTGAGATGTTAAATTTAACTACTTTAATGCAGATGGTATACGCGCAAATAGTTGAGGAATGATATTTTGTTTTTAAAGGAAAGTACTATATTCTTTTAAGCTGCTATGGCAAAGACGGTATCCACTTTGTGTATTTTCCCCCCTTTGCCTCAATCTACTGAATGGTGGCTGTTTTCTTTTTTTTTTTTTTTTTTTTTTTTTTTTTTTTTTTTTTTTTTTTTTTTTTTTTTTTTT